GGTCTGGTAGTTGCGCTTACCTCGTGTAGGTGAAACACCCGGTTCTCCCGTGACACAATAAGGTGAAAGGGATGTCCCCATCGATAAGTGGCTCCTGCGGCCCGGATGACATCCAGCACTGGTCTCATAGTGCGGCGCATGCGAAGCGTATGGCGGGAGAGATCCAGCATAATTTGGACTCTGGCTCCATCTAAGTCGAGAGATCCCTTATTCCAAGCTTGACGTAGTACTTCTTCCTTTACAGCGTAAAAATGAACTCCTACAGAGGACGTCCCTTGGGATCCCAGATGGCAATGAACGAGTTCCCTGAGCTCTGTGCACTCGGTCTAATTCCAATGCAGAGGCAGGTGGCTTGTCAAGGTAATGGTTGAGGATAGTTATCACTGTAGACTTTAAATCTGCCCCTGTCGTAGCCTCCGGGATTCCTTTGAGGCGCAAGTTGTTCCTGCGGTTCCTGTTTTTTCTGTCATCAACTTGTAGGTATAGGGCCGTGAGTTGCTGTTGGTGTGCGGCCTGACCGGCTTCCATGGCCTCCATTCTGCCCTGTAGAGATGCAGCCGTCGTCTCGACCGATTCCACTCGGTTGTCTAGGGTGGAAAGGTGCTGTTTCACCACCTGGAGTTCCAGCCGCAGGGCGTCAACGATCTTCGTGGCCATACCATCTAGGTCCCGTTTGGTGGATAGTTGCGGCAGGAAGGCCCTCCAGTCATCACCGCCTGCCGGTACGACACCCGCACCGGACATCTCGGGACCCGTAAGTGAATCCTCATCGAGTAGGAGAGGGGTGCATATGGGCGAAGACGGAGGGCTAGGTCGGCGTATGAGCCGAAAGTGAGAGGGACTTGGGGAGTTTTTTGTTCGGGGCCGCACACGAGGCCGCCGAGCGGGTGGTCGCCATGTTGGGATCTGGCCTTGTCGCAGCTTCTCCTCCCGCACGAGCGAATAAGTCCAAGAGATCTGTCTGACGGGGTCCCCTACCCGTACCGAGCATGGGATCCACCGTTAACGTGGGGTAAAGTCAGCTTAGATCGTTTGCTATTCAGCCGTCCCGTGCAAACAGCACAGAGCTCTCGTTAAGTGCTGCCTCACTCCGCCATGTCCAGAACACGCCCCCCGCCCAAGTACTTCACTTGGGCCTTCGAGTCCGAGTAAAGGACTCGCAGTCAGGTTAAGAAGGAGTCTCCAAAGCCCCATTTGTGTAGTATATAATATAGGTATTCCCAGGAGATGGAATCAAAGGCCCTCTGCAGGTCCAGTGACAGGATTATTTTTTGGATGTTATCCCCAGCCTGTCTACCTGGTATAAAGCCTACCTGGTCCCTGTGGATAATGTAGGGAAGTAAAGAATTGAGACGGGTGGCCAGTATTTCAGTGAGAATTTTAAGGTCAATATTTAATAGAGATATGGGTCTATAATTATTGGGGTTGCTGGGATCTTTGTCAGGTTTAGGTATAATTGAAAACGCTAAGAGTGAGGAGGAGTGCAATTGGAGACCATTTCTAAGTGAGTTGTAAATGGAGGCCAACTTGGGGGCTAACAGTGGTGCAAGTTTCTTGTAATAAAGAGCTGTGAAGCCATCAGGGCCAGGGGCCTTGGAGGATTTAAGACTTTTGATGGCCAGAAGAATTTCCTCTGTGGTAATTTCAAAATTAAGATGGTCCAAGTCCCCCTGTAACACCTGTGGGAGCTTGACGTCCCTTAGGATGTCTTCTGCTTGTTCTGGTCTGAAAGTGCGAGAGGCAGTATAGAGAGAGCTTAAATTATCTTGGAAAGATGACAAAATCATTTCAGGGTTAGCTGAGAGAGTGCCACCGGGGATACGCAGTCTAATGGGGGGTCAGTCGGTCGGGCAAGGTATTCAGTTTTTTTGCCAGTAAGGAGCCTGGCTTGTTAGCCCTAGAATAAAATCTATGTTTAGACCATCGCAGTGCTTTATCCACACTCTAATCTAATAAGAGGTTCAATTCCGCTTTAACCAAAGTCAGGCGTGCCAGGAGCTTTCAGTCAAATTTATCTTTTAAGGTGTCCAGCTCAGCTTGTAGGGCATCTACCTTTTCGTAAACTTTCCTTTTTACGGCGAGTGGCTAGCTCTATAAGGTGCCCTCGCATGGTAACTTTATGAGCCTCCCACAGCGTCACAGGAGAGCTAACAGTCCCCTTGTTAAGTTCAAAGTATTGCTTGGCATTTGATTCAATAAGAGTCATGTTTTCCACAGTGGACAACAGGGACTCATTGATCCTCCAGTGCCCGTGGCCCCGGGGACCCCCCTCCAAGCGAAACAGTATTACGTAAGGGGCGTGGTCAGACCATGGCACTGCCTTGATTTTGTCCGACATAAAGTGGGCCAGAAAACGTTGGAAGATAAAGACGTGGTCTATTCTACAAAAAACCTGGTGGGGGTTAGAATAAAAAGTATAATCTTTAGTCAGTGGACTGAGTTCCCGCCAGATATCTACCAACTGAAAATCATTTATAAGGTTTCGGAGGGCCAAGTTGTTGGGCTGAGACGTCCCGTCCAATCCGGGGGTGTGGGTTTTTTTGGTTTCATCCATACTGGCATTAAGTACTAGATTGGTATCCCCGGCCAGGAAGAGCAGGCCATTTGTGTGGTGTGCAACTACTTGGAACAAATGTGATAGGAATCTAATTTGATGGGTGTTCGGGGTATAGTAAGATACAAGAGTTACTTCTACATCAAATAACGTACCCACTAGGATCAGGTATCGGCCCGTGGGTCGGCAATCTCAGATTGGCACACAAAGGGTAAAGATTTCTTAAAAGCAATCGACTCTTTTTTTCTTTTCCGTGCAATTTGCACAGTAGAATTGGGGGTCATTTTTATGCAAGTAGCGTGGGCATGAGGATTGGGAAAATCTCGTTTCCTGGAGGCATACTATTGTCAGCGTGGCAGGAGGAGTAGTAGGAGAAGGCTTTATGACGTTTGGATGGCCAGTTGAACCCCTGGACATTATGGGATATTAACGCAAACTTACTAGCCATAGAAGAGGTGGAAGAAGAGTGATGTCTGAGGTATTAGCCGCACACCACAGTAGAGATGTGTAGAGGTAGGAGGACGGCTCGATGAGGGGAACCACAGGTGTAATTCGGTGAGGGACCCAGGGAGTAGACAGTAGAAGGAAGGAAGGACATCTTCAAGAAAAAAGAAAACACAGGTTAAGACAAACAAGAACAAAACAAACCAATCAAATGGCAGTACCCGGCCCCGGGGTCCAGGGCAACAGACAATGAGCAAGGCGGAACCTTTCCCATTGTGTGTCATTGTGGGAGGCATGTTTCCACCGATCCCCAGTGGAAGCAATGATATGTAGCACCCAACTGGAGCTATAGCTTCCAGGCCTATACAACTAGCACAACAGGTAAATGCCGATTATAGTTATAGGGCAACGAGATGGTATAATAGGGCGCCGGGGAGGCGCAATGCCATAGCAACAGGCTAAACTGGAACTTAAACAATACAGGGACATGAACTAAACGCATCCCCAGAATATCACAATAGACTGTTGCTGATAAAACGTCTTATATCAAAAATAACATTTTTCAAAGCAGGAGCTGTGTAACAGTGTCCGCAAATGCGGGTTAAGTACAATAACTGTCTCAGAGGTAATCGGGCAGCATCAGTGTATGCCAGTCAAATAAACGAACAGTGGCAACCATAGAGCTGAGTTACAGCTGCCTAGAGGGTCTTCAAGCTAGGTCAAATAAAGGGGAGCCTTCCCCCTGCTTTTTCTGTGGAGTGGCTCTCCTCGTCTGCCGCTTTTCCCAAATCGGACTTGGTGGTGGTGGACGTTGACTGTCCTTCTGTGGGGATGTTACCAGCTGGGAAGGAGGCATCAGGTTCAAGCCAACCAGAATTTTGCGAAGCTCATCAGGGGTAGAGGCAGAGTGATATGTACCATCACGGTTAAACATCACTTTGAACGGAAAACCCCAGCGATACGATATGTTGTGCTCCCTACGGGTATCCAGGATTGTTTTCAGTTATCAACGTCGTTGGATCGTGGTTGGAGACAGGTCCGCAAATATTTGATAAGCGTGGCCTTGGAATTGCAGGTCTTGATGTTCACGTGCTGCATGTAAAATGGCTTCCTTGGTGTTGTAGTATGTAAACTTAATAATGACGACAAGTTGCTACTCTGTTGCACTCCCTTCAGTTGGACTGCTTTTAGATGTCTGGACAGTATCTTGTGCCCCTCAGTGGATGACACAGAAAACCGGATTTTTGTACGTACCAAAAAATAATTTTCTCGGAGTCCATTGAGGGGTGCAGGACTCAGTAGTCTATTTTTATGTTCATGTTCATGGTACTGCTTTGCCACAAAATTAAGACATGCTGGGCATAGGAGGGGTTAACCCGGGCTGACCCACAGTTATTTGTTTGTCAGTGTCCATTCCTCCTGTTGATGGCAGGAGAACCCAAGATTATATAAATTATTGTGCCCCTCAATTTACTCTAAGTTAAGAATTTTATAATAAGTACAACTTTTCTGTTATTGTACAAAAATGTATAAAAGTACTGATGAAAAGTCATGCACAGACTTGTAATATATTAAAAGCACCTAAAAAAAGAGAAGCCACAAGCACAAAACTCCCTAGGTTTTCATATATATATTCAGAGATTTTACTCTGCCAGTAATTTGTTTATGCATTGCACTTACACTGATAAATGACTACCGTAGAAGATGTCATGTGTTCATACACTATATATGTAAAGATACTGAAGCTTGAAGCCATGTCTTGGAAATGGGCTTCCAATAAAACAACTGTAGAAGAAAATATTCTGTAGTGTAATTACAGAAATCTACATGTAATTGTATACTACATATTGTAGAAACCTAAATGTATTGTAGAAATCTACATGTAATCTTCTGTTTGTTTTAAGTAATTACTAATAGCTGGATATATTAAGTAATTACTAATAACTAATGATTGCTGTTTTTGTTTTTCTTTCACCTCATTGTGCAAAAAAAACATCACCAGGAGCTCTTGACTTGCTGTGAAGAAGGCAAAGGAGAAATTAAAGATGGACTAGAAGTGATGCTTAGTGTTCCAAAACGAGCAAATGATGCCATGCATCTAAGCATGTTAGAAGGTAAAGAAAATAAATATATAAAATCTTGTGTATATGTTTTGTGTGTATATCTATATCTATACAGATATCTATATAAATCTATATAGATATCTATATATCTATATATGTATGACCCCTTAATGGTGTACACTTTGTTATTGTGACTCGCTGTATTCCTGTCACATATTGTTATAAGATGTTATATAAGATATAACATCTTATGTTGGCAAAGTTTGCAGCGGGGTTTATTGCATTGTACTGTGCCTTTCTGTGTAAGTGCCTGTTCTGGGGTCAGTTTACTGCGTACCAATCTTCTTCTCAGGTTCAGTGGTTGCTTGAAAGCCAGTATTTGGGGCTGAGGGAATATTTATTTAAGTATGGGGTCTTCTGAGAGTACTGGCTGTAGATCTTTGATGATTTTGCGTATTACCTCTACAGTGGGGTTGTAGGTAACTACAAGAGGGGTCCTGGTTGGGTTTTTCTTCTCTTTGTACTGTAGGAGTCTACATACAGTGTTCATCATAAATGAGTACACCCCAACAGATTTGTCAGGAAACCTTTTACTTTTCTTTCAGAATCATCATTTTCTATGTGACATAATACTACAAAATACTCCCACAAATGTGGGCCATTGATTGTATCTAAGATTTGTTAATTTGCACACACAAAAAAAGTTTTTTTCCTAACAAATTAATTCAAGACCATGTTGAGCAAAGCGAAATTTTAGACCACAAAATCCTAATTCACAAGAGTATAATTATTCATTAAACAGGTGTCCAGCAGACAGTTTATTATAAAAGGGTGTTCCTTAACAAAGAAAACCCCTTCCCATTTCATGCTGTCAGCAATGGCACCACATGGAAGAGAAATGTCACAAGGTCTGAGAAAGAAAATAATTTATTTACACATGAAAGGTGATGACTACAAGAAGATCAGCAAAGCTTTACTTATCAGTCAGAATACTGTAGCAAAAGTGATACAAAAATATAACAAAGATGTAACTGCAACCATCTCACAGAGATGTCGATGCGGTCCACGGAAGTTAGCACCTCGACGGGAACGTCTTCTGATGAGAAGGGTTGAAGAAAATTGCATGCAAGTTCACTTCAGTTAGCTAAAGAAGTAGAAAGCCAAACTGGGATGGTTGTTTCCCGTGACACAATACGGTGTAGACTGCAAAGGAATGGCATGCATGGGTGTTGTCCTCCTAAAGCCCATGCACAAAAAAGCACACCCACAATTTGCCAGGGCCCATGCTGAAAATGAAGACGACTACTGGCACTCTGTACTCTGCAGTGATGAGACCAAGATTAATGTTTTTGGAACTGATGGCTTCAAAACTGTATAGTGTCGCAAACGTGAGGAGTACAAAGAAAAATGCATGGTGCCTACAGTGCAGTGACGTGCAGTGGAGTCCATTCTTGGTGAGGCATTTTCCCCGGCCCACCCTCCTTCCTGCCCATGCCCCTCCCCCAAACATGTCACCAAGATGTGTGGAGAAGATAGGGAGAATGGGGAAGGGAGGTGAGGCATCGAGATCGATGTCCTCACTGTTTTTTCTTTCTTTTTTATTGGACAGCTTGGACCAATGGCACTTTGACATTGGTCCAAGCCATTTACAGAGCTCAAGCTTCTAACAGTAGGTAGAGGCGGTTGCAGCTCTTGCATCATTAAGTTAGGTTACACAAGCAGCGGGGGAGCCTGCTGCTGTGTAACCTTACATAGCTGTCAAAAGCCGGATGCAGCACTGCCTGTAATTAACAGGCAGCGCTCCGTCCATGACAGGTTACACAGCTGGCAGGCTTTCCCTGCTTTGTAACCTGATAGAAGCCGATCTGAATGGAGAAAAAGCTGTCAGCTTCAGACTTTTTCCCTCCATAATACTAGGTTAGGCCCTGCCTCCCCTGACCGCATGTCCCTGCTACAGTGAAACATGGTGGTGGCAGTGTCCTTTTGTGGGGCTGCTGGTGTAGGGAGCTGCATTTCATTGATGTATCATGAATTCACAGATGTACTGCTCTATATTGAAAGAGAATATGCTACCATCCCTTGGTCGTCGTGCACTTTTCTAACATGACTAAAAGAACTCAATTGAGTAAATTCCACCTTAGGGTGTGCAAATACCGAAAGGGGAGGGGCTTTTAAAATAAAGCATAGTGATTAATATATGTGAGATTGTGTACATGTCTAAATAATAAACAAATGGGTGAAAGAGTATAAATTCAATATTTGTAAATGATTACTTCAAATATCGAAACTCATAAATGTGTGTGCTTAACGATGATAAAAAAACAATATGCATAATCAAAAAAGGTTGCATAAGTAAAACTAAAGATAGCAATCAAAACGTGCAAGTGCAAAGGTGCCCAGATGCCAGAAATTAATAAGTGCATGTTTCCAATACCATTATAAAAAAGAATGAGACTTAAACAGTGAATCAAATGTGATACCTCATGTGGCCAGCTTCTAGTGTGTTCCTCACGAGTGCCGCATAAGAAATGGCCGCATTTGCGGTAATTTGTATGCTATCCATGAACACCGCACGCCCGCCCACAAAGGGGCGGAGCCACGGCGTGTAGCGTGGTGGGAGGGTCCCGAGGCGCGTGCATATGATGATGCAAGCGCGCATCTCCTGAGCTCCCGGGACCAAAAAGGGTCTAAGAGGCCTGGCAAACAGGCCGTCCAATACGCACCCACGATTCCCATGCGCAAAAACATAAAAGAACAAGAGGAAACGGAACTAATAAAGAGCTGAGAAAAGGATCATATCGAAGAATGGATCCTCCCATGGCAGATAATTAGTGTTATCCACAGTTTATACAATAACATTAAAATTACATTAAACTAGATGCATAGTCTCATAGTTTACACCAACATAGGTTCCTATTATACAGATATATTATATATTTATGTATATATTTTTATATTGCATACATAGACCACAATCATTATTAGTGGGATTTAAGCAACTATGTCAAAGAATATATATATCACCAACTATATAAAACATCAACTTTGGAAAGAGCAGATTCATATAGAGTACAAAAACATGATTTCAATTTTAAATAGATGGTATAAATATGAATAATAAAAATAGCATGGAATATACATACATGATTTCATATTAAAAAAACAGTACAGTACAAATATATATTATATAAACATGAGTCCAACTCTACCCAATTTATGGAGTGTAGAGAGCATAAAAATGCACATACATGATTTACATGATTTACAGTAACTTCAAACCTATACAATGTTTAAGAAACATGTATATATATCCAAGTATTACGTTTATAAAGAGATTATTCAAATCTATAGAGTAAATTGAAACCCAATTACCCTATAAAGGGCAGATCAATACACGCCGACAAGCAGGAAATGGGGGTGTTATCCCCCCTGGAGTAAATTGTAAGTAAGTTCTAGTGGGCGTGTATTAGAGCATTAGAGAACAAAGAGAGCAGGGACTTCGTTTGCCGATTGATGACATCTTAATTGTAAGTCACACGTTTATCCCAATTATTCAGCCAGTTACAGCAGGCTGCACAGCAATAGCCTATCCACTCATGTATTTTAGTTATTGAGGTAGTTGCACTCTTCTACATAATGTGTTTTGACCCCTTCCTACACCCCCCCTCATAGGGGCGACACTGTCGGAACTCTCACACCTCCGCACTAGAGGAATAGTCACCACATCAGACAGTCCCATGACCCCACTATTGGGAAATTAGGATTTTACCCCAGGGAGCACTGCACTCTTCCTCAACATCTGGAAACCATAGGTCACACTTAGGGACAAAACTTTCAAAACCAGAGATTACTTGACAAAACTAACCAATCCGAATACACCGTCACTGCATCAGTCCCGTGGTGGTCTTATCTTCAAGTACGACATTACCTAGATGACCCGCGTAATAAACTACATTTTGGGAGAAACCTGACCCCCTTTGAGAAGGATTGTACTGGGAACAGGCCAAGCAAACATTTGATTTCCTGGCTCTAAGCACAGGTAAACACTAATGACACGCAGCGCATCTTGACATGCAGCGCATCTTGACACTCCGCAGCAGGTGGGAGGCAGAATTGGGCATACTCATATCTGGCGATTACTGGCAGGATATATGCTTGGGAATCCACTAAAGCTTGATAAGTAGCCGAACTCAGGAAACCAATTACAAAATCCTAACTTTTTGGTATAGGACACCTCACCCATTACACAAGATTTAGCCGTCTCTTCCTGATACCTGCTGGTGATTTCAAGCGGCGCAAGGCACACTATCACACATTTTCTGGTCTTGTCCACTCCTTAAGCCTTACTGGACCATATCCCAGAATCTGGGAATCAGCTTCTCATTCCACCCAGCCAAATTTCTCTTAAATGGGTCGCCAGGCGGCTTAGTTAGATACACTCACTACAAGATGCTACTTATGCACCTAATCAATGCAGCTCGAGCTGTCATTCCCCGATACTGGAGGGAATCCACTACCGTGACAAACTCAGAATGGGTCCAGCAAGTGACTCACATTTGTGAAATGGAGGAACTCCTATTCACTAAAGCCGATAAATTGGACAAATTCATCAACCTCTGGTCTTGTTGGAACGACTTCATGGCACGACCCCGGTCTCCAGCAGACGAGGCAGAGACTTGAGTTCTGATACCTCTCACTGATGTGATCCCCTAGAACACGTTACCCCACAGATATGTGGGTAACAATTCCTGTCAGATACTTAGTTGCCCCAATTAACTTGCTTAACTTGCTCCTCTTTAGAGGCCAGTGCACCTTGGATTCCTCTGAGGTGGTTGGGGCATGGATCCACGCAAGGACGGTGCCGAAAGGTGGTGATCCTCCGGTCCCACGTGGGACCGCGGCGACCGCAGACCTTACTTTCTTGAGGAAACTGAGAAATGAATCCTCTCAACTCAGGCACTGAGCCAACCTTACAGGTGAAACTCGAATAATTCGAATATCGTGCAAAGTTCATTTATTTCACTAATGCAACTTAAAAGGTGAAACTAATA